GGAGGAAATGAACCTCACTGCAAAGGCAACATCTCTACTTGAAGATTGCAGCGTCCTGGTAAGCAAGCAAATCGCCTCCTGCAGCTTCAACGATGACTTTGATTCACTGTCTTCCGAAAAGCCAGTCAGCCATTGTGCAGGGTGAAACCGGCCAGTTGCAGCTTTTACACAATGCAGCCATCCCCGAGCTGAGGTCGCATACAGTTCTCGTCAAAGTCGCGGCAGTTGCGTTGAACCCTTACGACTACAAGCTACCGCTCTATTTCCCTTCTCCGGGAACCACTGGAGGCAGTGATTTTGCAGGCACGATTGTAGCAATGAGTCCAGAGGCTACTGAAGAACGCTCAGATCTCTCACTGGGCGACTTGGTCAGTGGCTGTGTGTACGGATGGAATCCTGAGACACCAGAGAATGGCTCGTTTGCGCAGTATGTGCGAGCTGATGCCCAGCTAGTCTTCAAAGTTGGCTCCTACAAGCTCGAAGATGCCGCTACCTTTGGTGCGGCATTCGCTACATTGTCATTGGCCTTGTGGCATTCCGACTTTCTTGGGTTGACTCATTCGCCAACCGACCCGTTACGCAATGCGCCATCGCAGCCGATATACGTGTTTATATATGGGGGAAGTACTGCTACAGGGACCATGGCACTGCAGTTGCTCAAGTTGTACGTCCGTCCACAGCCGAACGCAAAGTGTGCTAAAGGAAAAACCTAGCATCTGCATATAGCTGACACAGCCTGAATGCCTTAGGTCTGGTTACTGCACTTTAGCGGCATGCTCCCCACGATCGTTCGCGTTGGTGAAATCCTACGGAGCAGATCATGTTTTTGATTACTCCAACCCCGACACCCCCTCAGCAATTCGCAAGCTGACAGGAGGCGCGCTGAGTCTTGTGCTTGACTGTATCTCAGATCACCACTCTGTTGCTGTATGCCATGCATCTACTGGTCGACTAGGTGGGCGGCTGATTACTCTCGAGCTGCCGCCTGAGCCACGTCCAGGCGAGAAGAGACGGAAGGCAGTCAAGCATTTCTTCGTAGACGGTGCGTCAGATGCTCACCAGTCCCAGCATTGAGAAACTGATGATCGAGTCCAGGTCACGAAATCTTCGGCGTCGGTGTACCCATTGACAGCCCCGGCTATAAAAGAACCCCCAGCCCAGAAAAGCATGGATTTGCTGTCAAGAAAGCGCACGAATTTCAGAAGCTAATCGATGGAAGTAGATTGCGTGCGCATCCGGTGGAGATGGTTGATGGAGGGCTAGAAGGAATTTCGTCGGGCCTGAAAAGGCTAAAAGTTGGTATTTCAGGGAAGAAATTGGTTCTCCGCGTATCCTAAGTACTGCGGGTCTCGACAGGAGCGACGAGGGGGCATGGTCACAAGTACATACAAGGTGCGTACGCCCTCTGGTACCATGCACAATGGAATATCATGTAGCTTCACGTTTTGCAATATGGCAGCCTACAAACAAAAGCAATGATGTAGATAATCAGTTCGCTTGTCATTCTGTAGACACCTCGACTAACAAGCTCTGACAACCCAGCTGTTACAGGTAACAAGAAGGATTCTCTCCTCGACGAGTGACGAGATGGCTGGAGGCCTATGGATGTCCACGTCAGAAGGTGATGATCATCGCGGAGCTAGGCCACGTGATGTGCCATCACGCCAAGACAGTGCCATCAGTGATGGCAGGTCGACAGCCTGATGGCAGAACTGGAAGCAATGAGGATATAAGGACGAACAGATTTCATTATTTACTCTCGTCGCGGTCAACTCAAGTTGTACTTTCTTACTAGTTACTTCACAAGATTGATACATGTTAGTCTATTGAATAAATTAGGACTTGTCAACCTGTTGCCCTCTCCTTCACAAGCACGCCAACTCCACTATATCGCCAGAAAATTGCCTCACGGAGCTTTTCACATAATCCTAGTTGCCCTAACCCCGACCAAGCTAGAGAAGTATTAGCACCCCAACCCAGTGTAACACCAGCAGTGGAACCAATCAGGCTCAATCGATCACTTTTGCAAACTACCTAACCTTTTTCCACTCTGCTTAAAAAGTCTAGTGAAACAAAAGTAGAAAGAGGATTTCGGTGACACATTCTATGCAGTTAGTAGTAGCATGTCCCAAAAAAGCGTTGCCATACAAACGCGCTGAGCGAAAGAGGTGCCGCACTTCTCCTCGGTTCGGAGAATCCGGTACCGGACGCGCGGACTTTTGATACAAGGAACTTAGCACAAATAGGTAAATAGTACAGTAGTCCTACTCTGCTGTGACAGGGTAGAAGTTAGCTGAAGATCTTGCGCTATAGGTATATTGGTTCGGCGAATGTAGCCCTGTCTTAGCGGACCTGCTACGCTAGCCTAAACCTATTGTCGCATCCGGTCTTGAAATGCTAGATCGTTGTCTGGTTTTGGTAGGATTAGCATGAAGTAAGTCGGTAAAACTTCTGGGCCTCTGGGCTTGTCATGTCGGGTAACTAGATATCATATCTTTTTTTCTTCAGGTAATGGTGCGAACTGGATTGCTGAGTACGTTTAGGATCGCTCCTGCGCGACTTTTCGAACCCTCAAAATTTGCCTATTGTTAGGAACCAGTACTCAAAGGTCCTCAGTGAACCATCCAGACGCCTAGTACGCTAATGAAGACTGTTCCGTTCCGTTCCGTTCTTTTGTAATGATATTTATTACAGCGTCATTATAAGCAAAAGACATGCAGAGCATCTGCATCGGCCATTTCATGAGACCGAACAATCTGAAAATGATTCAGAGACTGTCTTAGCGCTAGTGGGATGCGCTACCCCTGCTGCAAATGTGGAGAAGCTGCAAGTACACAATGCCGGGAGTCGGAAGCGGGAGCATGAATGTTCAAACCGGAGCGAAGGTACATCGCGGGTAGCCTGCCAGTATTGCCGACAGTGCCAATACTGGGTGTAATTAATAGCCGTAAAGTACTTGGATTACAGGCTTACCCTGATGCATTACATATGGTTAATTTGGTTGCTGTAGAACTCACCGATATAAACGATAGGTCGGCCTTATCCCTTGAATTGCCAACTGAATTCAAAGACAGGTTTTGTTGCACACACGCACGACAGCCCAATATGAGTCCATTCATCAGCAACGGAAAGTCTCGATCGACCCAACAGGTCAGCAGCGATGGGAAAGCTATCGCGATCATCGGCAGCGGCTGCAGATTTCCAGGCCATGCGAACACCCCTTCGAAGCTTTGGGAACTACTGGAAAACCCCGAAGATGTTTCATCACCTTTACCGGCGTCAAGATTCAACGCTGCTGGGTTCTATCACAAAGATGGTGCACACCATGGCCACAGTAATGTTAAAGATCTTCGCGGTTACTTCCTTTCAGAGGAAGGCGTGGAACGAAAGTTCGACGCCAATTTCTTTGGGATCAACAATGCAGAAGCAAACGTCCTTGATCCACAGATGCGACTGCTCCTCGAAGTGACTTATGAAGCTCTTGAGAACGCAGGCATCAAAATCGAAAGTTTGCAGGGGACTAATACCGGATGCTTTGTTGGTCTCATGAGTGGTGAATATGAATCAGCTATGCTCAAAGACCCGGAGACGATTGGAACGTATCACGCTACCGGGACAGCGCGAAGCTTCTTGTCCAATCGACTATCCTATTTCTTTGATTGGCATGGGCCATCGATGACTATCGATACTGCCTGCAGCTCTAGTTTGGTGGCCGTGCATCAAGCAGTCCAATTGTTGCGATCAGGGCAATCCAATGTTGCCATTGCGGCAGGTTCGAATATGATTATGGACTCGACCAATTACATCAGCGAGAGTAAGCTACAAATGCTTTCTCCCGATGGCCAATCAAGAATGTGGGACGCAAATGGAAACGGCTATGCGCGCGGCGAAGGTGTCTGCACTATTATCATGAAAAGGCTCAAAGATGCATTGGCCGATGGTGACTACATCGAGTGCATCATTCGTGAAACAGGCTGCAACTCCGACGGTCGCACAAATGGGATCACTAGGTACATGTGATCAGATTGAGAGCACGCTAGATAACGAGACTGATGAGGAAACCTATAGACCTTCTTCCAGTGCGCAAGCTGCGCTTATTCGGGACACATATGAAAAGGCTGGACTGAATCCAGCCAGCATTGATGACAGGCCACAATAGTACGTATTGCAAATGAGAGATTAGTGGATTGCAACAACTAACGCTCTTACGTTTAGCTTTGAGGCACATGGTACTGGTACTGGTATGCCACTCAAGGTCTATCAATATTACGACTCGATGACTGACTGACGTGTATTCATAGCCGCAGGAGATCCTATCGAGGCAGAGGCCATCCATTCGGCCTTCTTCGGAGAGTCTAACGCCGATGATGGTGAGCTTCTAGTCGGCAGTATCAAGACTGTATGCGGCCATACTGAGGGTACTGCTGGTGTGGCGGGTATACTGAAAGCCTCTCTGGCATTGCAAAAGGGTGCAGTACCTCCGAATATGCTCTTTACTGCCCTAAACCCTAGTATCAAGCCTTTTGTGAATCATTTGCACCTTGTCACAAACCGTTCGGCATGGCCACTTGTCAGCAATGGGCAACCACGCCGTGCAAGTGTAAACAGGTGGGCGCTTCCAATGCTAGATTATCGACTACGGCTGACGTTCTTCTCACAGCTTTGGTTTCGGTGGGACAAATGCGCACGCCATTCTAGAGTCCTTTGATAACCGAAACGAGCAAGCAGGGCCAGATATCTCAGAACCCGTTTTCATGCCTTTTGTCTTCTCCGCAGCTTCATCCAAATCTTTGCGAAATTACGTACGGTCCTTTATCTCATATCTGGAGCACGGTATGGAAGGTTTGCGAATGCGAGACCTAGCCTATACTCTACACAGCCGCAGAAGCCGCTTCCCCTACGCACTTTCAGTTGTCGCTCAAGACGGTCCTGAGCTACTTGCAAAGCTCCAAGAGGTTCTAAGGGAGTCGGAAGTGAACACGAAGCCCGTTGGGATACGAGCTGCTCCAAGCGCTGGCAGCTCCCAAGGCCGTTCTGGCGTCATAGGCATCTTCACCGGACAGGGTGCGCAATGGGCCACTATGGGAGCTGAGTTGTTACTAAAATCCAGAGTCGCGTCAGAAACTCTAGCGAGACTAGAGCAACGCTTGGCTCAGCTTCCCAAATCCGACCGGCCTACGTGGTCGCTGAGAGAAGAGCTGTTGCGTGCCCATAATTCCCATGTCAGCGAACCGGAGTTTTCTCAACCACTTTGTACAGCGATTCAGATCCTCCTAGTCGACATCTCACGCTCAGCTGGCCTCGAATTTCGCGCAGTTCTTGGTCATTCTTCAGGAGAGATTGCCACAGCTTATGCGGCTGGTGTCATATCTGCAGAGGATGCCATCTCGATCGCATTCTACCGTGGCCTTTGTACCACTAAGTTTGCTCAAAGCAACAATATGCAGCCAGGAGCTATGATGGCTGTAGGCACATCTGCTGAGGATGCGTCTGAGGTTCTGGAAGCAGGTCCCTTCAAGGGTAGGGTCACCATAGCGGCTATCAACTCTTCCTCTAGTGTGACGCTATCCGGAGATATGGATGCCATCGAGGAACTTCGGGATATCTTTGAGGACGAAGGGAAGTTCGTCCGGATTCTCAGGGTCGAGAAGGCCTACCATTCACATCACATGAAACCTGCTGCGAAGAGTCTACGCCAATCACTTGCAGAACTCGACATCAAAGTCAACCAAAAGTCGTTGTCTAGATGTGTTTGGGTGTCAAGCGTTACGGGCCGGACATTGAGTACCGAGGACGAAGAGAAGCTCAAGGCAGAGTACTGGGTAGAGAACCTACTCAGTCCAGTGCTGTTTATGTCAGCTCTACAAGAAACATGCCGCATAGCTGGCCCGCCACAGGCTGTTATTGAGATTGGTCCGCACCCAGCCCTACGTGGTCCGGCAGAACAGACCCTACGTGAGGAGGCTGCAGGTGGAGACGATGTTCCATATGCTGCACTTCTCAAGAGATCCTCAGAGGCCATTCCGTCTGTTGCGGAAGGACTTGGTCATTTGTGGGTCCATGCACCCCATTTGGCATTGGACCTACAAGGTTATGATCAATTCATATCTGCAGGTGCTTCTTTCAAACTCGACAGGTCAATTCCGTCATATGCATGGGACCATGAAGCCAACTATTGGCACGACTCAAGAGTGACGAGGATGTATCTACACAGAAGCCCAGAACATGAGCTTCTTGGACATATGTCTGAAGCCATGAACGGTGTGCGCCAGTGGCGCCAGATTCTCAGTCCAAAGGAGATTTCTTGGCTAGCCGGACATCGCCTGCAAGGCCAGATAGTATTCCCAGCTGCTGGATACGTTGTGCTTGCCATCGAGGCGGTCAGGGACTATCTTCGAAGTCTTGAGGAGTCAGAAACGGCTTCTCTCATAGAAGTTCACGATATCGACATTAGCCAGGCGATGACTTTCAATAGCGATGACGCTAAAGTTGAGGCAGTGTTTCGACTGCATAACATCCAACGGCTAGACGATCAGGTCACGGCAGACTTCCAGTACTTTGGATCACCAGTAGCTGCTGCTTCAGCTCCTGGGCATTTTGATGCTCCTCTTCGTACTTTCGCCACAGGCTCTATCACTGTCACTTTGGGAGATCCTTCGCCTACTTTGCTGCCCTCCAGAAGCCACGCTCCAGACAATACGCTTCCAGTGAAAACAGAGGACTTGTATGACTCGCTTAGTCGTATGGGATACGGATATAGTGGTCCTTTCTACGCCCTTTCTGGGTTGAGCCGCAGGCTTGGAGCAGTCAGAGGACAAGTAATGAGTCCCGATGATCAAGAGTCTACGTTGATGATTCATCCAGCTATGCTAGATGCAGCGTTCCAGGCGGTACTCCTAGCGCAAGCGGCTCCCTATGATGGAACACTTTGGTCACTCCATGTTCCAAAAACAATAAAGCGTATCACGGTCAACCCTGCTTTGTGCCAGCCAGATTTGACAAGGAGTAAGTTGTTACCCCTAGATGCCTGTCAACCGATCAAGACGGGGAAATTTCAGGGAGACGTCGATATCTATCCAGCGACTGAGAGCTATGAGCATGCCTTTTGCCAAGTTGAAGGCCTTGATTGTATTCCTTTTGCTCCTGCATCAGCTAAAGATGACAAGGAGGTCTTGGCGGCTATGCAATGGGGACCTGCATTCCCAGATGCTGTCATAGCGTCTCAAGACCTAAAGCCGAATCAAGAGGAAGTGGAACTCGGTCAACTTCTTGAAAGACTTTCTCAATTCTACATGCAGAATCTACTCCGTGCCATCCCTCCAGGAGATTCCCGCCGCCATACAAGTCCCATTGCCGGCATTTTCGGATTTGCTGATCACATCGACTCGCTTATAAGGTCTGGCGACCGGAAATTTTGGAAGCTAGAATGGCATGAAGACACATTCGAGACCATAACCGAAGCCATCGAGCCATTCCAGGACAATGTGGATGTTAGGCTGCTCAAGCGCATCGGCGAGAATCTAATCAGCATTGCGGACGAAAAGATTACTGCCATCGAAATTGCGATGGAGGACCACCTGCTGAACGAGGTCTACGTTGCTAGTCTAGGTTTGAAGGAAGTCACACATGTCTTGGCAAGAGTGGTATACCAGATTACCCACCGATACCCGCACCTGAATGTCCTGGAGGTAGGTGGCGGGACTGCGGGGTGTACCAAAGCTATTTTCAGCATGGTGGACAGTTTTGCCTCATACACATTCACCGACGTTTCGTCGGCTTTCTTTCCCACGGCACAACAAGTCTTTGAGGACCGAGCCTCACAAATGAAGTATCAGGTGCTTGATGTGGGCAGGGATCCGATAGAACAAGGCTTTCAACCCCATTCTTACGATGTCGTTGTCGCATCCATGGTACTACACGTAACCAAAGACCTTTGTCAGACCATGCAAAACATCAGGCGTTTGTTGAAGCCTGGTGGATACCTCATCATTCAGGAGGGCTTTAACAACAATGTTGGGCGGAGTGGCGCCATCTTTGGTGCATTCCCTGACTGGTGGCTAGGGACCAGCGAAGGGCGCATTCTTGGTCCGCTAGTGTCGATCGCTGAGTGGGACAAGACATTGCGCGATACCGGATTTTCTGGAGTTGACACATGCTCTCCCACGTCGCATCAGTTTTCTCATCCAACCGCCGTCTTTGTGACACAGGCGGTAGATGACCGGGTCAGCTATATCCGAGACCCGCTATCTCAGCCCTTGCCGCAAGCCATCCAGATCGCTCGGGACGAGCTTGTGATTGTCGGAGGCAAAGGTCAGCAAACAAGAGACCTAGTGGCTGAGCTTGTACCCATGCTTCAACAACGCTTCGAGGGTCTAAAGACATTCAAGTCCTTCGCCGAACTAGCTAATGCTGGAACGAAATTATCTTCATCGAGCCTGATATTAAGTCTCACCGAGCTCGATCAGCCATTGCTGCAGACTTTGAGTAGTGCAGAATTTGAGGGTATCAAGGCAGCTTTACTTAGTCTCGGATCAATATTCTGGGTGACTCAGGGCAGGCGTGCGTCAAATCCGTTCACTGCAATGACGGTCGGAATGGTCCGTGGAGTCGTATGCGAAGCCCCCACACTGACATCTCAGTTCCTTGACTTTGAGGACATTGGTACGCTAAGTGCTACGGCAGTAGCTACCGAAATGTTCCGTTTTGAGGCACAAGCGGTTGTAATAAATCAGCAGGAAGGAGGAGAACCCATGTTTGGCAACCTTGAGCGTGAACTAGTGCTCGATGCCCAAGGTCAGCTGCTGATACCTCGTCTCAAGCCCAGAAAGGACATGAATGATCGCTTGAACTCAGACAGGCGGTCGATCTCCAAAACCATGCAGCTAGATCAGAGCGGCAGGACTAGTATCAGTCTGAAGTTGCAGCAACCTATCGAGGATTCTTATTTCGTTGAAGACTGGGCCATTGTAGCGAAGAATGTAGGGTTCACGCCTACGTTTTCTCTGATATCTGCCGTACGTTTGGGTAAAGATTCCGGCTTCGCCCATCTTAGCTTTGCAAAAGATATGGATATCTCAGCATCGCACGTTGTTCTATCAACCCAGCTCGGCCCCAGAGTCGAAGCGCTGCAAAGCCTCGCACTACCTAAAGACGTCCCCGATGGTATGGGGCCCGCGTTCACGGCTCTTGTCGCACAAGCTTTAGTGTGCATTCAGATTCTGGACAGCGTCGCTACTGGCGATCATCTCCTGGTTTTCGGTGCGGGACAGAGTCTCGTAACGGCTCTGCGAGTACTGGCCAAGGAACGAAGCATTCCTGTTACGGTGATCGCAACCACGGGCAACGGAGATGCCAGCAGCAAAGATTATCTATACATCAATCCAAAATCTCCGGATCGAATTATTGATGCTCTTCTGCCGTCCCAAAAGTCAATGTTTTTGAGTTACGATAGAAGAGATGGCCTATCCAGCGTGGCAGCTCGGATCATGGCACTCCGTGCACGCTACTACAAAGCCCAGTCACTGTACGATTATTTCTCGCAATCAGCGTCGGAGCCTGAAACCTTGGATAACAAGGCTTGCCAACAACTATTGCATGCAGCAGTGGAGCATGCCTCGCGTAACGTTACGACATCTTTGGGACTTCTTCTCAATGAGGAAGTTGTTATTCTGTCTGCCACCGGTTTAGTCTCAGGCAAAGTCAGCGCCAATGGTGATCCAATGCAATCTGTGGTTAGTTGGGAAGATATCCGACAAGTTCCTGTCAAGGTTCGAAAGATTGAGGATCACGTAGCATTCTCGCACGAGAAAACCTATTGGCTTGCTGGACTTAGCGGAGGGTTAGGATTGTCGTTATGCGAATGGATGATACGACGAGGCGCCAAACACGTTGTCATCACTAGTAGAAACCCCAAGGTTGCCCTTTCGTGGGTGAAATCCATGGAGGCCTTGGGTGCCGAGGTTGTAGTGCTTCCTTGCGACTTGACGAGCGGTACACAAATCGACCTCATCTATAACAAGATTCGCTCGACTATGCCGCCTCTCGGGGGCCTGGCTCAAGGTGCCATGGTCCTCCAGGACACAGGATTTCGCGACATGAGTTCCGACGCCATGGAAAAGGTATTGCGTCCTAAGGTTGTAGGCAGCATCAACCTCGACAGACTGGTTAAAGGTCTTGATCTGGAATTTTTTGTTTTTTTCTCCTCGGCCACTGCAATTATCGGTAACGCTGGGCAGTCAAACTACTCAGCCGCCAACCTGTTCATGACGAGTCTCGCGGAGCAGCGCAGACAGCGCGGAGAGGCAGCCTCGGTTATTCACATCGGCCCTATCCTGGGCGTTGGCTATGTCACACAGCAAGGTGAAGCTGTGAGAGACATATTCGCTCGGCAGGGCGAGTACACGTTCATGTCAGAGACAGATTTCCATCAGCTCTTTGCGGAAGCTGTTACTGCGGGCCGGCCCGAATCGAAGCTGCCGTCTGAGATATGTATGGGCATAGCCAAGATCCACGAGAAACCTGCAAAGGAGCTGGCTTGGTACCTGAATCCGCTCTCAGCACACATGACAGGCAACATCACAGCCGAGATTACATCCAAGGCATCGGAAACAAGAACGTCCGCCAAAGCTCTACTTATGAAAGCCACTACAAAGGAACAAGTGTTTGGAATACTCAAGGATGGCTTCCTGTCTGCACTGTGCTCGCTCTTTCAGCTGGATCCTGCACTAGCTGAGGACTCACGGTTTCTTGATAACCCACTCGATGGCTTTGGAGTGGACTCCCTCCTTGCTGTAGAGATCAGAACATGGTGGCTGAAAACGTTACAAGTCAATATACCCGTCATGAAAATCCTCTCTGGGGTTACAGTGCGGGACATTATCGAATTTGGCGTAGAGGGGCTTTCCCAAGAACTAACACCGAACCTTGCTGATCAGGAGGAGACTATCGTGGAGAACGGCAATGTAGGAGGAGAAATTCAAGATGACATTCAGTTACAGAATGGTACTAATTCTAACGAAGCCACGTACGTCAACCAAATGCGGCAACTTCCTGCGGTCATCCGATTAATGGAGCTATCTTTCAACCAGCAACTATATTGGTTCGGTTTAACATCTATGCAGGACAAGACCGCATTAAACCACACGGCATGTTATCGCGTCAACGGCAAGCTCCGTATAGAGAGCCTCGAGCGTGTGATTCTTCATCTTGGACAAGTGCACGACGCCCTACGAATGTGCTTTCGAACGTCACAGGGGCAAACGAGCCTAGGAATTGTCGAATCATGCACTCTGCGTGTAGAGCAACAACAAGTCACAAATAGAGCGGAAGCGGACGCCATCGTTCAAAAGGTGCAGGCAACCCCTTACGACTTAGAGTATGGAGAAACTGTACGTATAATTGTATTGTCTCTATCAGAAACGGAGCACTACTTGGTAACCGGCTCACACTCTCTTGTTTTGGACGGTCTTTCCTCAATCCTCTTGCTGCGACAAATTGCACAGTTGTATGAGGACGAGTCATGCTTAGAAAAGGCCGACATTTATCAGTACTCCGATTGGGCAAGCGCGCAACTTGAAGCCTATAAGTGCGGCAGCTTTGAAAGTAGCCTGCAATGGTGGAAAAAACGGTGGACAACCTGTCCGCCCCCGTTGCCCATGCTTCGAGTCGCATGTTCCAAGACCAGACCCTTGCTTGGCGACTACGACAACGTCCGCGCCGAGGCGCTCATAAGCAAGGCAATCAAATCTCGCATATGGTCAGTCTGCCGGCGGAACAAGACCAGGCCATTTCACTTCTTCCTGGCAGCCTTCCACGCCCTTCTCGCTCGACTCTCCGACGCTGAAGAGATTGCAATTGGAATCAGCGACTCAAATAGACCACAGCAAGGCACTATGCAATCTTTGGGTGCATTTGCAAACATTGTGCCAATCCGGGGCTCCTGCGATCTATCGCAACGTTTTAATACCGTCATGAAAGACTATGGAGAGAAGGCTGCTGCTGCTTTGCAACACTCTAACGTACCATTTCATCTTCTTCTGTCAAAGTGAGTTTTTTTTTCCTAGAAATCGGCTGGCATCAAAAAGCGCAAGGGTGATGAGCTAACCAAGATTTGCGCATACCTAGGCTCGGTGTGACGCGGTCGACAACATACACGCCTATGGTCCAAGCATTCTTCGATTATCGTCAGGGTATGCGCAAGAAACAATCCATGGGCGATTGCGAACTCGAGTTACTGTCTTTCCAAGCATCCAAAGTACCCTATGATATATGTTTGGATATTATCGATGATGCGGGTGAGGGAGACTGTGTTCTGCACCTCCTCGTGCGCAAGGACTTGTACAATCAAGAGCAAGCTCAAACGCTGCTCAAGTGTCTTGTCAAGCTTGCAGAATCATTTTCACGGGTTCCGAATACGACTCTAGAATCTGCAGCCATGTTCGATGTGCATGAGATTGAACGTGTTATTGACTTCAGCCAAGGTGAGTGCACACTCCAATGCATGATGCAGCTGTTGTCTTTTGATCTTTGTAATACTCACACATGCATGGAATGTCATAGGGCCGCTACTGGCTTCGAAATCAGAAACAATACTGGGTCTGATCAGTGGCTTTGCGAAGACTGCGCCCCATGCCAAGGCACTCAAATTGGCTGGCACAGCGAGAGATGTCATGGACTACGGAACGATGATGCATCGAGCAGAAACTATCGCAAAAGCACTCAGATCCAATGGCTGCATAAAAGGATCTGTCGTTGCAACCTACCAGGAGCGTAATCCTGACTGGATTTGTTCGGTATTGGGTATACTACGCGCTGGTGCTATATGTCTTCCGCTCGATATTGGCCTTCCCGTTCCCCGTCTGGCAACAATGGTTCAGCATAGCGAACCACATCTAGTTCTGTGGCAGGAAGAGAAAATTGGCAACGTACTACAAGAAGCATGCAATGTGTCTGGAGCCCGAACAGTGAGTATCTCGGAACTGACTAGCCACGAGAGTATTAGTAGTGCTGTTGATGTGAGTTCTTCTGAATTAGGGGAAGTTTACGCGAAGGACTCTGCCATGATTATGTACACAAGCGGCTCTACGGGTACGCCTAAAGGTATTCTTCTCGCACATGAAGGCCTCAGGAATTGGGTCGAAGCCGCCCTTCACCTTTTTGAAATCGGCAGAGACGAAACCTTCCTCCAACAAACGTCCTGCAGTTTCGATATGTGCTTTGTGCAAATATTCCTCGCACTTTGCTCTGGCGGACTTCTCTGTCTAACACCAACAAAACTTCGTGCAGACGCCACTTTTATCACTGAAGCTATCGCTACTGAAAATATAACGTTCACAGGAGCAACACCATCGGAGTACTCAAACTGGCACCGCTACGGAGACCACAGAGCACTCTCACAGAGCTTATCACACTGGCGAACGGCTTTGACCGGTGGTGAGGCCACTACGTATGCTACGCTAGAGCTCTTTTCATCCCTTGCTGGATCAGGTGATTATGGCAATGGACCACGTTTCTTTAATGTTTACGGACCTACTGAGACAACCATTGGTGCGACGGGAACAGAGTTGGAATATTTTGGTGATTTCAAGTCCGCAGAGATCCATGTAGGCAAGCCCTTGGCTGGTTGTCTTGTCTATGTCATGGACGAAAGGCTGCAACCAGTGCCCGTCGGCATTCAAGGCGAGATTGTGATCGGTGGCGCAGGGGTTGCCCGAGGCTACCTGAAAAACCAAGAGCTTTCATCGGAGAGATTCGTTCCAAACCCGCTAGTACCACAGCACTATCGTGCCAAAGGTTGGACCAAAATGCATCGTACCGGGGATATTGGTAGATGGCGTGAAGATGGCGCTCTACTCATTGAGGGGCGCAAATCCGGCGATACCCAGATCAAACTGCGAGGGCTTCGAATCGATCTGGCCGAGATCGAGAACAGTATACTAAGGGAATCCCAAAATACTCTGGCTCAAGTTGTTGTGTCTGTCCGCCACTCCACACAGCCGTCAGTTCAGTTTAATGAAGGGTTTCTTGTTGCACATGTAAAGTTCCAGCCCGGAGTATTTCCATCCCGTGGAGAACAACAAGCCTTTCTGAACGAGCTTCTTGCTCGACTGCCACTACCACAGTATATGCGCCCTGCTGCAGCATTTCCAGTTGAAAATCTTCCCATGATGATATCTGGGAAGCTAAACCGCAAGGCAGTGGCCGACTTACCTCTGGAGCAAGAAGGCTCGTCTTCTTTGGCGTATCTGCAAAGAGTCACCGACAACAGACCACTCACTAAGACAGAAGCACGACTAAAGGATCTCTGGGAGGCCTGCATTTCGGATGATATTTCGAAGCAATATGCATTTGAACCGAACACAGATTTCTTCCATGTCGGGTAAGTAAAGCAAATGGCATCTTTGACAGAGAAAGCGTGCTAATGCATTGGCTCTCTCAGCGGAAATTCTACCCTCCTGCTCAAGCTGCAATATGACATCCGGAGGAACTTTGACGTCTCACTCACGTTGCTGGACATGTTCCAGTACTCTACACTGGGGGCAATGGCTAAACGAATCGACCCTGAGAGTAATGTACAACCTGACTCCAAATCCGATGTGGACTGGATCGCAGAGACCAATGTGCCCGACACTATCCAACAATCATTGCCCTCGGCCAAACCAGTGACGGTCTTCAAACCGCGTGTCATTGCATTGACTGGCGCGACTGGTTTCATGGGCCAGGCTTACCTGCGAGCATTGCTGTCAGATCCCGAAGTGCAAACGGTTCATTGCATTGCTGTCCGTCTGGGCAGCGCACGCACCAAGCAATTACTATCACAGCCAGCTTCAATTCTTCGCCATCAGAAAGTCAAGATATATGAAGGTGATCTAGCTGAGCCTAGCTTCGGACTGGACGAGACTGCAATTACTTCCATATTTGGCACCGCAAATTGTATTATCCACAACGGCGCGGACACTTCGCATATGAAAAGCTATCCATCGATCCGGAGAACCAATTTTGGATCTACTCAGGAAATCATCAAGATGTGTCTGAGTAAGAACGTGCAACGAATGATACCTATCCATTACATATCTACGGGAAGTATCTGGTCGTCTTCGGGCTTGGATATTGCAAACGAAACATCCGCAGCAGCTCATCCGCCTCGTCGACGGTTTTCTACTGGTTACAGTTCGTCCAAATGGGTCAGCGAGGTTTTCCTTGAAAACGTCTTCGAGCAGAGCAGATCTCTCTGGCCGATTTGCATACATCGCCCCGCAAGTGTCCAACCAGACGATGCAGAGAATGCAAGGAGCGCAGAAGACTCCAAAACAACCCCACATCTAGACTTGACGGATGTTATGATCCAGTACTGTCGACTAACAAACTCTGTACCGGTGTCCTCGCATCTAAAGGGATATCTGAATCAGGTCTCCCTCAGTAGTGTGGTGCAAGAGATGATGAAGGCGTTGCATTCGTGGCCAACAGGAGATGGAAACCTACGGTACATCCATGAGATTGGGGACATTGACATTCCATTGGAGCAGCTGAAAACTATTGTCCCAAGTGCAGTGGAGTTAGAGCCGCGAGAATGGGTGAAGCGTGCAGCGGTTGCTGGCTTAGATCCTGTATTTGTTCAACTTTTTCAAAGCGTTGTAACTGAGCGGCAACTATCCTTCCCACGCCTTTCGAGGACTATTTCAGTAAAGAAGTAGGCCTTTAATTCATCGTCGGTTCGATACTCTCAGTAATCTTCCGTGCTTGCTTTGGGGCATCTTGCCATAGTATGTCATACAGAACACAAGATCATCAAGGCTAACATAGAACCGTGCCGCAACCACAGTGGAGCTCCTACGTGTGGCCACGTATTCATGTCTGCTCGGGATCACGTAAAATCAAATCCACTTCCAATAACTCGTCCAAGATATTGATGCATGTGTCTATGATGCTGTAGCGCTAATCATAAACCTGGTATTTCTATTTCCTACCCGCGCACTGCTACTATGCTCTTACACGGCGCCCAACTCTTTGGAATTTAAAGGCCAGCAGTATAGACTTGAGTGATGACGAAATCAGTATCTCGTTATGCAGATGACATTATGGGCACGTGCATAAGCATAACAGCGTAGATTATTACCCTAGTCTACACGCCTTTCATTCTTTTCATAAAACCACTCTTACGAATCTACTTGAGCTTGCACCTTTGATCTTGTAGAAAAGCCCTACAGTGCTACTTAGCGCTTTGGTAACACTAATCGTGGCTATTTCTCTTCCGGTTGCTCAAGCTTTACTTTGTGATTCAATGAATGGTGGAGTTGAGGGGAACAATGCTATTTTTTTGACCACCCCTATCAGGTCCATGACAATCAACAGACCTCCCATGTCCAGCGTAATTTTGAGAATTCTTTCGGTCTCTACTGCATCATTGCGCTTGCGACTAACGTCCAATGATACGCCTCTTGCTTCTATTTCTGGCCCATTGCGCACGCGTTGTCTCCCAGCTACAGAGCTCAAAATATGTAAGTACCCTCGAGGTTCCCAAAAGTTGCAGAAGGCGCCTACCCAACGAAGTTTTCTTTCTTTCTTTCTTTCTAGATGCTTACCGAAAATCAAACTGCTCGCTAGTTCTTAGAGAACGTGCAGGATAGGTGCAATAGGAAAGATCCAAGAAGCAACCCAAAAGCAACCCAAAAAGTCGATCGGTTTTCCATGTATTTCTGTAGTTGCCCATATACACAGGCATATGATCTGGTAGGTTTTATGGAGCAAGAATCTTCGATCGTCTTCGTAGATAGGACATGTGTGCAGTTGTGCACAATTTGCCCATTGCGTGCTCTAGACCCCGTCAATATCGACACATGGAGTTCTGGACAAACAAAAATCTCATCGAACCCCTTGGAAAATGGGTGCTAGCTTAAGGTTCTAAGGAGAAGCATTAAGCCACAGCTCATATGGACTCGAAAGAGAGGGAACGAGAGAGAAATAGAATGGTCATCTCATAGCCAGCCGGCAGGCGCGAGATAAAACATGTATTCTAAAATCGCACAGAAGGCTCACGTCCAAACCGTTAGCCGTCATTCTTGTTCCTTCACCCGCTGCTTCACATGTAGTCCTTAACCTGCTCCTCACTCCATTCCCAATACGCCTTTGCGCGCCCACTCCCACCCTCCTCCTTCGTCGTTACCGTCTCCGCAAGATCCCTTCTTAGCCTCGCTGTCCGTCCAAAAGGAATGATCCAGTCACCTTGCTTCAGTGCTGCAACTTCAGGCGATAGACCTGCGAAGAGTTCCGTATACGCGCCATTGATGACTGGATAGGTTATCCAGCTGATCATCCAGGCCTGCATTGATGAAAGATGGCGGTGTAACTCTGATGAGAGATTTCCGGGGTTTAGGGCCTGCACATAATGTTAATTGAAACCCTAGCTGGTACGATGTTCCATCGTGAGATGTAGTGGGTACACGTCGCGAGAAAGCAAGCGGTACCTACCACACTAGTAATACCAGAGTCCCTGTATCGTCGCTGGAACTCCAAGGCATGCAATATATTTCCAGCTTTACTGGTTGCATATTTCTGGTACTTAGTCTTGTCCGTCTTGTAATCTAGATTTTGCAGATCAACACCGCCAGTGGGAGAGAAGTGTGCGGCGCCTGAAGACACCCAAATCACTCGTACACTGCCAGTCGTCTCCTTTCTTGCCGTCTCAACGAGAATTGGTGTCAGAAGCTTAGTGAACAAGAATGGCCCGACGCAATTTGTTCCAAGCTGTAACTCATAGCCCTGCTTAGTAGTGCTGCCGTGGGGAGGGAACATAACACCTGCGTTATTGAACAGAACATCCAGTCGCTTTTCCTTCAACAAGAACTCATCTGCAGAGGCCTGAATGCCTTCTAGGTCGCTGAGATCGAGATGCAAATGATGTAGCACACCTTGCGATGTAGGATGTTGCTCTTTTATCCATTGTATTGCGGTTTGCGCCTTCGCGGGCACACGCGCAGCGACATAGACAGTGCCGTTGAGTGCATAGAGCAGTCGTGCAAGTTCCTTGCCCACCCCCGTGCTAGCTCCAGTAACGATGTAGACTTTCCCGCTAAGATTGTCGATGGACTTTTCTGTGAAGGCGGGTGCGGGCGGGAACGCCTGGCTAAACTGGTTGCCCATCTCCACAGTTGCGATGTGATGCTCTTTAGTTGCTAGTCTGGCATGAAAAGATAGTTGTACAAAGAGGCAAAAGCTTATATCTCGTGGGATATTTGATGTGATTTTCGATACTGTTGACCGATTCAAGACAATCGTTAGATATCTCAACAGATGGAGAGGGGGGCGCGAATACATAGCGAGATGCACTCGGCCCGAAGAACTGAAGGCGTAGCAACATCGTTGTGAACATGGTCGTATTGAGGTTGAAACCTAAGAGCTGTATGACACATATCGAACGAGGTACGCTGCAGCTAGCTATCTGTGTGTCACGCAACATGTTGTATCTACAATAAATAGTAACTATGTATAACTAGCAAAAGCTATCTGAGACTATCTCCTGGATAGTGTCCAACAATGCTGTAACATCTTGTGATACTGTAGCAAATATTGACCGCCATGAGTCCAAGCGTTGTTTAGTGTGACCATCACCCAAAGACCCCTGATTGAATCACACGCTAGGCATCCGAGCCGGGGGTGGGTCTGTGTATCTTCATCCGAACTTGCGGCTTTGCCCCGCCTGCTAGCCTACTATCTCATTATTGACACGATAATAAGCCTATCAAGTGGTGTGCATGCAAACAGTGCCTTAATGCTTACTCGGTGCTTACCCAGTGCTATTGCCCTGGCGCAAGTGGCTAAGAACAAAAGTTGCGCCCTATCTACTGTGACCAGATATGAAGGACCATCTGTATCTCCTAAGTGCCGCGGAGTAATCGACTTTGCTAACATAGCCTTGCTGGGATGGTGCCGGAGAACGGCGGAGAAGTGTTGTGATGAACTAGAGCCGATGCAGTACATTTCGTACCAAGCCAGACACGGGCGAGTGTAGGCGAGAATCTGAGCCATATGAGGACCGGATACTGCACCCAAACTCGAGTGCCCAGTAGTGAAAAAGAGTCGGATAACTGGAAGAGTATAAAACGTCTCATGCGCTGACGTGCTCAAGGAACCGGTCTTTCTCGGTGAGGAGTTTTCCGGAACCGAATGCTCGGGATTTTGCTCGGCGAGACTACCTTGGACAGTCACAGTCTATCCGCTCTGTCCTTTACCCGAGAGTTAGCTGTCAACTACGGTTGAGCCTCGTAAGCCCAGAACTGCTCAAGTATCTAGTTGTTTCACCTCCGATATGGGAGGGTGGCCACTAGAACAGCCTTGACTGGATTTGGCGAAAGTTTAATACATCGTCTGTGCAGCCCTGGTTGGAATTCGAAGAAGCTAGGCTATTGAGCCGAAGGTGAGCCGTCCTAACTAATCTTACTCCACTGATTGCCTTCCAGGTCAACAACAGATGTGATCATTACAAGACTTTGCATGGGAAAACAGGAGATGTGCGGGTTGGGATTTAAGACCCGTGCACCTAGGTATCTATCGTAGCGCGGGGCCAAGAAGCTTTCAGTCAACCATTAGAGCCTAGGCGAGTGAATAAATATCTGGATTCCGTGCGTCCATACCAATATCTCAGTTCCAAGGCCACCAAAGGAGTTATGATGGTTGCTGTGTGACAGTTAGCCTAGATATGCCTGTGTTTCCCCTCACAAACCCCACTCTTTAATTCTTCTAAAGCTAGAGGGTGTGGGGCCTGCTTACTATACATGTTTTCCATATCACGCTTTAGTATAAAATGTTAACTATAGTTATCGCGTTATTATTATTATTATTATTATT